AGTATGGTCTGGTCAATGTTTCTTTCTGGACCGAACCGGCTCTGGTATTGTCTCTGTACTATCACTTGGACTTGCTCAAGAAAAATGGCCATTTCCCTTCTAATGGTAATTAATCTTTATTTACTAATCACCACTACGTGATCATTATCTCATACTTCCTTCCTCTTATAATTAATCTTTGAGTTTGACTTTCATGATCAATTTTTTTTAACATTGACTGTATATTATGTAAAATTGATATTGAATTTATATACAAATTTAACATTGATAGAGATATTTTGAAATATAGTTGTGAAAATATTTTATTTTTATAATATATATCTATATATAAATAGAGATATTAATAGTTAAAATGTTAAATTGGAGATCCTGAAAAATCAAATGAAAGTAAATTTTAGAATGGATGGAGGAATATCTTTTTAATCCGTTATGTATGATTGATCCCAACATTTGAACCACAACTTTTAACTTCATTTTTTTAGACATTACAGACACAAAACAATATCGAATGTTTGTGATGTCTGTAAGAGTGAAGTTAAAGGTTGAGATTCAAATGTTGGATACAAAATACCATTTTTGTTTTTAAAAAATCATTTGGTTAAAGTGAGAGCGGGGGGTGGTTGGTGTTGGCTTTCAATCCTTCCATTCTCAATCAACATTCACACACTAAAACCTATCAAAAAACATAAACAAAATAAGGCATTGATATATTAATTTAAAAAAAAGGATGAGGCACAATATTGGTAATAAGGGGATGACATGTGGGGTTGATGACAGTAGGATAGTTTTGGGGTTTTATTGGCTGCTGCTAGGCACTACATACCAAACCCCACTAGCTCTTGTTTGGGCATGGAGTATATACCATCAAAAATCCTTGCTCTTTCTCACCAGGGTCTTATCTGCATTATTCTTTTCTAATAATGGTAAAAAAAAGAGGTGAGGCTAATTTTATTTGAACTTATTAAAATTTCAGGAATATCAAATTTATAAACTAATATGCCTAATTTTAACAAATTTAGGTAAAATGCCTAAATGTAATGATTCAGACCAAACGTAATTGTTCTAAGCGGGATCAAGCCCAATTGGTTTTTTCACCATAGTATAATATCTGGAAGGGCCTTGCATTCATTACATATTTTTTTAGTACTACTACTTGTATATTGTAATATTATTTGTTCATAATTTTTCAACTTACTAAAGTACAAAGACTTAATACTAAAGATTGACTTTTATCTAAGAGATTTAAGGTTATTCTGCTCAACCACAAAATCTTTGACTGCATTCATGAGATATTTATGCTCGCTTTGAATTTCTTTTTTATGTACTCCGTGGTTAGAAAAAATAATAATACAAAATGTACGTTTTTTTTGTCATAATCAGATAAGCGATATGACATCATAGACTACATCCCAGGAGTTAAAGCCATAAAACCAAAGGACCTAATGTCTTATCTCCAATCATGTGACACGTCTACGGTGATGCATCGAATCATCTACAAGGCGTTCGAGGACGTTAAGAAAGCTGACATCATCATCTGCAACACGGTTCAAGAGCTCGAGCCCCATACACTCTCGGCCTTGAACGCGTACCAACCCATTTACGGCATTGGCCCGATCTTCCCATCCGGGTTTAACAAGAGCCCAATCACTACGAGCCTGTTATCCGAGTCGGACTGCTCCCATTGGCTCAACGGCAAGCCTGATGGGTCGGTCTTGTACGTTTCCTTCGGAAGCTATGCCCACACTAGCAAAACGGACATCGTGGAGATAGCCCATGGGCTAATGCTCAGCGGCATGAACTTCCTTTGGGTGCTCCGACCCGACATTGTCAGCTCGGAGGAACCTAATTTCTTACCCTCAGACTTCGAACAAAACGTCGAAAACCGAGGTTTGTTTGATGAACATTTAATTTATTTGTGTTGAATCATTCATGCACTCATTCTCATCATGAATCATTCATAAACAATCACTCTATATTTTATAGACAGGAAATATTAAATTAACTAGCTCAACCAAAAGTTTAACCTTATTTGCAGGCTTAAGAAATTTTTTTAAACCCTAACAATGGTGGATTGAAATCCATCCATCATCTTTCCTTTAATATGAAGCATCTGAATCGTTTTTAAGGTTTGGTGGTGCCGTGGTGCCGGCAGACGGAGGTGATCTCACATCCGGCGATTCGAGGATTCCTGTCTCACTGCGGCTGGAACTCGATCCTCGAGAGCATCTGGTGCGGGATACCGTTGATTTGCTACCCTCTCGTCACCGACCAGTTCACTAACCGGAAACTGGTGGTCGACGAGTGGAAGATCGGGATCGACCTCTGCGACGCACCGCCGCCGATCGGGCGGCTTGGGATCGCGGCGAAGATCGACGTTTTCATGAGGGAGAAGAGCGCGGAGCTGAAGAGGAGCGTCCTACAATTGAAGGACGCTTTGGAGAATGCCCTTGCATCGGAGGGTTCGTCCTCGACGAATTTCAATCTTTTTGTTGAGGACGTGAAGGCCCGCTCGCAGAAGTTGGTCGGGCTTTCTGCTAATGGGCTCAGGAAATCTCATGCTCAAAATCACGTTGTACCCAACTTGATTTCTAGTTTACCCCAAGGGATAGTCCCCGAGTTTTATACTCCTAATTTGTTGTAACTTGTAAGTGGGCCACATTTATTTTCCTATAAAATAAATTATTATTGTTGTTGTTGTTGCTGCTGCTGCTGTGAAAAATTAGAATTATTCTATTTGTTATTTCAATGTACTATTAATAAAATGATACGAAGTATTGATTTAGTTGCAATTTTTTCTTTTGAATAATATCTATGTTCTTCAGAACCTTGACATCCATGTAAATGTGCCGGTGAACGTTGCATAGTTGGCAAGACAATGAATGTCAAGGAATGAGATTCGAGAGTTTGATTTCAGCCAACTGCATTAGAAGGCAATTATGCCAAGCATAGGGTCTCAGTGCTAGGTACAAGCTTTACTCTTTATCATCAATATGTAATCAAAGTCTACTTTATTTCATCTTAGTGACCGTCTATCTGAGTCTAAAGAGGCCTTCAGGAATGAGACTCATCCTTTTTTTCGACATCAATCTAAATGTCATCTTTTTAAATGTCATAACTCAAAATACAAATGTTATTGTTTTTTTAGCATTCCAAGTTTCAAAAAACGTGTTTATCTTTTTGAGATCATTAACAAGCTAAACGCCCTCATCTTAAACACCATTACTCTAACACCATTACTTTAAAACATCATAATCATTAAATTTAATTTTGAATAACATAAACATATACTCATTGTAATAGAGTTAATAGTCATCAAAAAATAGAGTTAATATTTTACAGTTACTATATGATGATAATTAATTCTTTTGGACAAATACTCCGTAAAATTAAAAAGTTTTATATACGGAGTATATAGTAACATTACTTAATTTTTTAATGATATTTTTGGCATTGATGATGATGATGTTTATAATAAATACAATAATAATAAATTTAATAAACATAATATGAAAAATACTTAAATAGTTTTTCAAAGTCATTGTTTGGAGTTAGAAAAAACTTAAAAGAGTTCATGAAATTAGGGATTGAAAAATGTTGAAAGTTTATTTTTTTCAACAAAAATTGCACTTAATAGAACAAATTATTTTTGAAAATGCTAAAGTTATATGTTGTGAGATAACATTTCCAAGATGTTAAAACTAAATGATAAAATTATTTCCAAACAACCCTACGACAAACTAGATATATAAATCCCAAGAAAGGTAATTATAATAGCTCAATCTTTATCTCCATTTTTTTTAAAAGTAAAAACTTTCTTAATTTTCTTATATACTTCGTATAATATTTAGGTGAAATTGAGAAGTAAACTTTAACAGAGAAATAATATGAAATATATTTCGTATAATTTGTGGGGGACACTATATTTTTCAAACAACAAAAAACGCATATTCCTTATCGTTTTAGAGTGCTTCTTTGGTGCATCTTGGATGCATATATTTTTTGTTAACCTTCTCACATAAAAAAATTATTTTTATATTTTTTTAATTTAAAAAACTGATGTTTATTTAAGGAGTAAGGAAATATTTATTTTATTCATATATAAGTTCATGGTAGACCTTAGGTCTACCAAAGAATTTGCCATCATTTTATTATGCATTGCCATAATTGATCAACTTTATTTTTATTTTAATTTATTTGACTATAGATGTAAAAGTTAAAAATAAAATTTATATACAAGCAAACAAAATAAACAAAGTTTAACATTGTGAATAGTGTCTAAAAGACTAATGGGACTATTGAAGACAAAAGAAAAGCTTTTTTTAAATCTTGTTTAGTACCCTCTCCATTCTAAAATGTTCTTCCTATTTAAGTTTATGAGGTTTGACCTACTTTATTTTCAATTCAATTTACTTGATTGTATGTGTAAAATTAAAAAATGAAATATATATATATATATATATATATATATATATATATATATATACTAAAAAATATATCAAAAGTTCTACACAACAAGAAGTGACAAGAATATATTACGGAGTATTTTATTAAATAACTAACGAGAATAGATAAAGAAAGTGCTTAAAGTTTGATCGTGTGAATAATAATCGAGAAGAATATTGTAGAAGGGAGCGAATAATCCTTATTTTATACTTTCTATTTCCCACAATATATTACACTTTACATAAAAATGTAAAATAAGCGAAAATTTTAATTTTTAAAATATATTTCATTAATTGATTAGTATAGAAATAAAAAATAAAATTTTTGTGTGTATTAAAATTACACAAAAAATCTACAAAATAACTGATAAAAAATATTTTATTTTATCAATAAAAGAAATAAATACACAATAAAAGTTTTTGTAATTTTTTTTGGACCAGTGTAAATATTTTTTAGAGAGCGCGACTCCGCGAGTAATCCTTAATTTCTTTCCTAACAAGAAACGAAGTCCCAAAAGTCTTATAAATAAATCGTCAAACAGATCCGCCTTCTTCCTTCTTATTATCATCACTCCCTAAATCGAAGGAAACCTCTCTGAGATAAAAAAGGATCTCTGCTCGCCGAAGAACGCGCACATCACGCACCATGGGGAGTAACGAAGCCGAATCTTCGAGCTCGTAAGTGTTCCTTTTCTACGAATCTCGATGTAATTGTGAATGTGCCCAGATCGATCAACGGACTGTGTTTTTTTTGGATTTTGTGAAATTGGGGTTTGTTTGCAGGAAAGGGACGAAGAGAGATTTTAGCACCGCGATTCTGGAGAAGAAGAAGTCGCCTAATCGGCTCATTGTGGATGAGGCCATCAACGACGACAACTCCGTAGTGGCTCTTCACCCTAACACTATGGAGAAGCTCCAGCTCTTCCGCGGTGACACTATTTTGATCAAGGTTTGATTTTGTTTTTCCATCCCGGATTCTGTTTTGATTGTTGGAGATTTGGGTTGGGACGACTGAGTTCGATGTAACAATGTTGGGTTTAGCGTTTGGAATCGGGAAAATTTATGGGATTCTATTATTTGAGAGAAATTTTATTGATGGTATGCAGTGTTCATTAACACGCACTGACATAAAGAGGAAATTCAATACCAAATTTGCTCGCCCATTGAAACGCTTGCACAGGCCTCTGCTTCGGTAAAGCGGCAGAAGCGTTCATCAAATTTGAGCCATATCTCTTTCAAGATTCATTTTCCACCCGCTAACGACTGACACACTAACTTAAAGATATACCCCCAAGTAAATATGTGAGATGAGTGAGTAGCTATTGTTCATCTGCTAAACTTTCCAATCAACATAAGCTTTGAAAAGCTGTATCTCGATACTTCAACTTTCCGATGAGATCATAATGCTGGCCAAAAGACATCCATTGACGAAGTATTGCACTTGATTCGAATTCGGTTGTTCTCTGTCCACCGGAAACAATCACGGGAGCAGAGAACAACCCAATTTATATCAACTGCAATACTTCGTCAATGCATGTCTTCTGGCCAGACATTATGATCTCACCGGAAAGATGATTGAAGTATCGACATAGAGCGTTTCAAGGACTGTGTTGGTTGGTACTGTGATGAACCAATAGCCATACTCACTCGGCTCACATATTTACTTAGGGGGTATATCCTCAAGTTAGTGTGTTAGTCGTTAGCGGATGGAAAACGAATCGTGAAAGAGATATGGCTGAAATTCGATGAACGCTTGCGCCTTCAAAGCTTCACCAAAGCAGAGGCCTGTGTAAGCGTTTCCATGGGTGAGCAAATTTGGTATTGAGTTTCCTCTTTATGTCCGTGTGTGTTGATGAACACTTCATACCATTGGGTTTAAGAATGGCCTTTTAAGTGTTTGATAAAGTATGAGTTCCAATGCCGTTGGTTGAGAGTGTTACGGAATTTACATTTTGTTTTTATGTTTAACACACTGATTACAGGGTAAGAAAAGAAAGGATACAATTTGTGTTTCCCTTGCTGATGACACATGTGAAGAACCTAAGATTAGGATGAACAAGGTTGTTAGGAACAACCTCAGAGTCAGGCTTGGAGATGTTGTTTCTGTCCACCAGTGTCCTGATGTCAAGTATGGTAAACGTGTGCACATTCTTCCCGTGGACGATACCGTTGAAGGAGTTACTGGGAATCTCTTTGATGTTTACTTGAAACGTAAGTCTTTCAGTATGAAACTCACTGTTATAGTTAAGTTACTAGGCTAATGATACCCTCCCCTCCTCCCCACCACACATACTCACCACACCCACAAAGAAGAAGCCTAGTTTCTCTGACTTTTTAATTTTCATAAAGTACAACTCTTGGAAACTATCAAATCTCTCTATATTTTTTAGAAAAAATGGTGAGTCAAGTGTTTACCAACTTCGGATAATAAACTTGGTTGAGTGTATCTGAGTCATACTTTTCTCATCGCATTCATAATGACAATATGCAACATTATGTGATCATTAGCCATTCCTTACTGAGTTTTACTTTTATGTGCAGCATATTTCCTTGAGTCCTACAGGCCAGTGAGGAAGGGTGACCTCTTCCTTGTCAGGGGTGGGATGAGGAGTGTTGAGTTCAAAATCATTGAGACTGACCCCGGGGAATACTGTGTTGTCGCCCCTGACACTGAAATATTCTGCGAGGGTGAACCTATAAGAAGGGAAGATGAGGACCGGTTGGACGAGATTGGTTATGATGATGTCGGTGGGGTCCGTAGACAGATGGCTCAGATAAGGGAACTCGTTGAGCTACCACTAAGGCATCCACAGCTCTTCAAGTCAATTGGAGTTAAGCCCCCAAAAGGAATCCTTCTATACGGGCCTCCCGGGTCGGGAAAGACTCTAATAGCTAGGGCAGTTGCGAATGAGACTGGTGCATTCTTCTTTTGCATTAACGGGCCAGAAATAATGTCAAAACTCGCAGGAGAAAGCGAAAGCAATCTTAGGAAAGCGTTTGAGGAAGCTGAGAAGAACGCACCCTCAATCATTTTTATTGATGAGATTGATTCTATTGCTCCCAAACGTGAGAAGACGAATGGGGAAGTTGAGAGGAGGATTGTTTCTCAGCTATTGACACTTATGGATGGGCTGAAATCCCGTGCACATGTCATCGTCATGGGGGCCACCAACAGGCCCAATAGCATTGATCCCGCTCTGAGGCGGTTTGGGAGATTTGATAGGGAAATTGACATTGGTGTCCCCGATGAAGTTGGGCGTCTTGAGGTTCTTAGGATACATACCAAGAACATGAAGCTTGCAGAAGATGTAAGAACACATGTTTCTTTGAGTGATATATGTTCGAAGTTTTATATAAAAACTTGAATGTTTAACATAATACGTGATAAAAAAATTCATCCCATCATAGCCCAAGATAATACTATATTTTAACATAAGTGGATGTGCTTTACAGGTTGATTTGGAAAAAATTGGGAAGGGAACACATGGTTATGTTGGTGCAGATTTAGCAGCATTGTGTACTGAGGCGGCTCTTCAGTGCATCAGAGAGAAGATGGATGTGATTGATTTGGAAGATGAAACCATAGATGCAGAAATTCTGAACTCAATGGCTGTTACCAATGAACACTTCCAAACTGCTCTTGGAACCAGCAACCCCTCTGCTTTGCGCGAAACTGTAAGAGTAGAGAGAGTTTTCACACATAGTACCTTTATCCCCCAAAAAAGAACATTATTTAACCAAATTACATTTTTCTTTTTAGCTTTAGCAAGGTATACCTATGGGAAATAATCAAATCTGGTTATGTTTTTAGCTTGAAACTACATGTGTAGAATTTTCACACATACTACCCCACCCATCCAAAAATAGCCTTTTTTCATACCAAAACACACATTAAATTTTAGTAAGGTACCATTATCTGTACTTCTAGCTCTGAGCGGGAGGTCTCTTGGAAACAGCTTCTCTACTTCATAGTAGGGGGTAAGGTTTGTGCACACGTACCCTCCCCAAACCTTGCTTTGTTGGATTTTGCTGGGTTTGTTGGTTTTTTTT